CTCCAAGGTGGTGATCCACGGCTCCGCGCTGTGGGTGTTCTTCAACAAGATGAACGACAACAAGTGGCAGAACGCGCAGTGCGAGAACACGGGCGGCAATTGCATGACCAACCAGGCCTACGCCGACGGCGCGAAGTCGATGTACTGGTTCGGCCTGAGCTCCAAGAGCACCACCGCGCTGCTGTATGACCAGACGGGGGGCGTCATCTGGGAGGTGTTTGCGAGCGACAACACTGGCGGTTGGGGAGGCGTTCTTGCCGCGTATCTCCGGGATTCGGCAGCTTGAAGGTCTGGGGAAAGCTGAGTGGTGTCTTTTGGTATAAGTGAGACTTCATGTGTATATTAGGACGAGGACGTAGATTTCGAGTTTTAAGTCCAAGACAAGATGCCCAGAGGCCAACGTTTCTTGCGTATGTTGGAACTCAGCTGCACCTAGAGTGGATGTAAAAGGGACTATGACGAGTATTAACAAATGAAGGCCACAATGTGTCCAAGGCCCATCAACTCGCCGTGTAGACCAACACATGTGATCGCAGATCAGATGACTTAGTGAGCAGGCTTTTGCTGAGCGTACGTCGTCCGCTACAGCTCGAGATCGCTCTCCAAGCAGACGAGCGGTGACAGGAGTGCTGCTTGACAGTGCAAACATTGTCAACATGTTACTTGTCTCTCCCCACATCAATAATTTTGTTCGTCCAAGTGAACTTCACAGTGCTATCCGATCCAGCTGGTGGACTCGGCAACCGTTGCGAACATGGCGGTACAACTTACACGTTGCGGAGAAAGATCTTGAACGCGTAAACGGGATGCTAAAGATGACTCGCCGCGGCTTTATCGACCGTCGAAAGTTTGGTCGCTAGCGTAGCATGGACTTGGACCTTTCTGGCAAATGTGGTTTAGCCAACGGATCTGCATCGGGAGGTCATAGTATGGACGGCTCTTCCTGAAGTTCAGACAGGGGTTTGCATGCTGTGGCACCAATGGGCGAAGGAGGCACGCTTCGACGCAGCACGTTGGTAGTATATCCGTACAAACAGGACTCAAAACCGGGGTCGGACGAACTGCCAAACTCTCGAAACGTTGATCAACCCGTGCCGTGCGAGGTCTTTTAGCCTCTTTGGATGGTGACTTTGAGCCGAGGTCCCCTTTTGTGCCTGGATCTTGGTGCATGGCTGGGGCGATTGTTATCATGCACGCTGCATGGGGCTCACCGCACTCGGACTCGTTCTCGTCGGTTCTGCCCAATTTGGTGCAGGGGATTCTGGGGTGTTACCCCAATTTGACTTCCCTCGGCTCCTGTCAGATTGATGAGGAAGACAGAAAGCTTGGGACGAATGTTGGAGATCTGCAGCGACTGACTGGCCATCAACGAGAAAGGTCGCAATCAGAGATCGTGGCGAACCATCGGAAAGCAAAGCATTAATTGTGTCCGAATGCGGAAAGCGATTCGGGTGTCGTGTAAGATCGTCTGAAGCTTGTTTCGGGGAGAACTGAACCATCGAGTCGGGATGTGTTGCCTTGTGTGTATGTGCTGTCTTGTTTTGGACCTTTGATCGACCTTGATCAACTCTTCTTTCCCTCGTGTTTTCCTTTGGAGCCTCGGTCCCTGCGAGACATGACGAACGCTAGCTGGAGCACAGCGAAGGACGGAGATTGTTCCCTGCGGCGTGTAGGCTGTAGCTGGCATGTAACCGGTAAGGCGCTCAAGGCAGTCGTTAGCCAGGGCCGGCATCAGATCCATGGAATTAGGTAATGGGGCCAGCGTCTTCATGGATCATTTTCACTGTCCAGCGCCGGTAGCAGGTATGAGGACTTGAAGCATGCTGCGGCGTCGAAGTCGTGCAACACGGGTGTGGGCGTGGGCCTCGCAGGTTGGAACGAAAGAAAGCCTTCTGTGGCGCTGTGGCTGGGGCACACTGTCCACAGTTCGTGATTCGGTATCCGTATCGATGATGGGTATTCTAGAACCCAACTGACAAGGTCGATGATGAGAGGTAAAGAACGAGTGGCTGCGCTTGAAGTGTGTCCCGTCGTGGCAGCGCCTGTGCTCGGTTCGGTTGTGGCCGCCTGCCGTCCGTGAAACCCTCATGATGGAAAGTTCAGTAAGGTAAGGTAGGTGAGGTACGGATACCTCGAAGGTCGAAGTAACCATAAATGACGAAACGAAGTATCCACGAGTCTCCGTTGGTGCTACCGCGGTGCGTTTCTCCAGCGGTCCAATGCGCCAGTCGGCCCCAATGAAATGGAACTGGCATGAAGCGTGCGGGAGTGGAAGATGAATTCCCCCAACTTCCAAGGGTAGAATATGTGCAGGGGTGCGATGCATATGGCTGCACCTGGCTGGGGTCAGGTACGGAATACGGTTAGGTGGACCATGGGGAACAGCGATCCACTATTCCAGCAGTGAGCAATGAGGACACGCGCGGGCACATGACGCCCTGCCGTGTGCTAAATCGCCGAGGTTCACATGCGACGACTGAGCGTCATTGCTGCGCTGCGCTTAGCCAAGTAGCTTTCCATCACTCCGCCTCCGTTCCTCTCTGTTTCTTTATTCCTCCGTCCGACGACCCCAACCTCCGACGCACGGCTTACCGTTGACACCTTTTTCTTCACTACTTAAACTATCCCAAGTCCCTTCCCCCACGTTTCGGCAATCTTTTCGCGATCTATCACATCCAACTGTCAATAATATATACCATTTCGACTCAATCTATACCGAATATCTCTATCCTACAATCATAATGGGTCTCACCAACGGTACGTTGTTCTTCCAATAGGATGTCTCGGTCTCGGTCTCAATCGCACCCAGCAAGCTGACTCTGGCTGCTTTCCTCTAGACAAGTTCCCCTCCTCGGCCGCCTTCGACGCCATCAACGATGCGCTTGGCTCCAGCGAGCCCGACCGCAAGGACGCCATCAAGCAGGGCAATGCTATCTTCGCCTTCACCTTGAAGAACTCTGCCGGCGAGACCGACAGCTGGCACATCGACCTCAAGGAGAAGGGCGTGGTCGCCAAGGGCACCGGCGAGAAGCCCACCGGTATGTCATCCGCGCGCGGGGTGCTTTCATCGCCGGTAGAATCCGTACTAACACCTTTTCAGTCACCCTCTCTCTGTCCGACGCCGACTTTGGCAACCTCGTCCAGGGCAAGGCCAACGCCCAGAAGCTTTTCATGTCCGGCAAGCTCAAGATCAAGGGCGACGTCATGAAGGCTACCAGGATGGAGCCCATCCTAAAGAAGGCCCAGTCCAAGGCCAAGTTGTAAATGTGTGTCGCAATGGATATTGCGTTGTCGGTAATACCCTGTACCATAACCTACCAGTCGGGCCATTAAGTAGTGCTGGCTCTGGATGCACGCCAAACGTAGCGTTGCCGTAGGAAATGAGACTATGATCAATTAATGAGCGCCTTGAGCGTAATTCGTTGCTGTGAAGCTGACAAGGTTCTCCATTTGAAAAGTTGCCGGAAAATCGGCAGTGTAAGCTTGTCAGTTTATTCGCGACGTTGTACGCCATGGGGAAAAGCATGTGAAAGCGTCTGAGAACGACTATCGTGGCAGGACATCTAAGAACGAGAGAATCTCTCGTTCTTGGGACTAAAATCATGTACATGCCCCCGAAAGAAAGCAGGCGATACTTTAAGAATAACAGGCTTTTTCAAACGGACGTCCGATGAGCTTCATATATAATGATTGTTTCCGTGACTTCGACCGCAATGTTAACGGTGCTGGACCTCAGATGGTGGGAATCTCCGAGTATTGCCGCCCCGAGTCAGGAGGCCCATTTGGGGTCGGAGCACCGGCGCCGCCATCTTCACGTGCACTCTGCGCTCCGGCCGTGGTGAGCCGGATCTAACCAACAGTTGATTGGATGCGATTAACCGTACGGAGATGAAGCTTGCGATGACTAGTCGATTCCCTTTACATTCATACGCATGACTTCAAGAGTGCCAGCGAGTAGAGTTGACTGAATTCAGATAGGACCACCCGAGCTACAGGGTCTTGGCACTCGTGAGTGTCTCGTGAGCGAGGCTGCCGTCCGGTTTGGGGAACTGTGTTCCCCTGGTTTCAGTGTCGCAGTCGCACCAGCCAGACATACGTCTCTTTGTGCAGACGCAAAAGGGTCAGGAGTGCAGCAGATTTGAAAAGGTGTGTTGCACTCAAGCTGCACACCCGTGTCGTCTGGTTGGAAATAGCGTGAGCTGACTCAGCAGACTCGAGGAAAACGCCTGGGCCAGCAAATGCTCCGTCGTAACTGCCTTAGTTAGGTTCATTGAGAAGGTACCACTGGGAAGGTACATCGTGCTACTCGTAGCTTCCATTCGTTCGACTGGTTGAAAGTTGGAGGATCGTGACGCGGGACCTGAGGAAAGACCGGGTCCTGGGGAACGCCCTAGGAAAAATTCCAAGCGCCGACCACCAACCAGAAGCGCCCAGTCGCTGTCGCAGTTGCACCTGCCACTTCCTTTGCACTTTAGGTATACGCAACTTGCGACCAATTGAAGGCGGTGACGCTGGCCTGAGGTTGAGTGACGGCAGAAAACTGACCCACTCTTTCCCTACCGTGCTCGCGCCCCCCTGCACTGAGGTGTGGCCTGGTTTTTTTCCCAATAGCTGGCCCCGTCACCCGTCGCCCGGTCGAGCCACACCAAAAATCATCTTGCACCAAAATCTTCCTGTGCTTCTGCAAGCCAGACTACCATCAAAGGCGTGTTCGATGCGCTGTTCAGCATCACTTTCTTGATCGCTGCGCCATCGCGTTTTGTTGCTGTCGAAGCTTCAGCCATCATTGAGTGTTTTTTTCATCCAATCGCATCTACCCTTTAGCAGTTACTTCTCGCAGTTGCGCCTGCTTTCCTTTCCTCGCCCGCCTAGCTTTGTCTACGAATCCTGCGTGAATCGAGACGCGACTCTCCCTCCGACACCGAGTCGACCGGCGCAAACTTCATCACCAACGACTAATTATAATCCCGAAACCGATTCTTTGGTCGTCGCACATCATCATGGACCAAAGAAATAGCACCCCGCGGCCTCGCCCGTCGCTCAAATTCGCGAACCGGAGCTACCAAGCTTCGCCTCTGAACCCGAACAAGCGACTCGGCACCCCCAAGACTGCTCCATCGCAGAGAATCCTGAACCGCGACCCCATGCCATCCAGCAACCTCAACGCGAGCACCATCTCCACCGCGAGCAATCTCTTTCGCTCCTCTACTCTGAGCGCAAGCTCCAATACTACCCCCTTCGCTCCGAGCTTGCCCGCGAGCACCGCCAAGAAGGTCTTCGCGCCCGGCGCGACTCCGGCTTCTCAAAAGGTCTATCGAGAGAACATCGCCCAGGCGACCCCTCGCGGCATGGCAACCAAGTCGACCTCGGCCGATCTCTTTCAGATGCGCATCCCCTCCCCGCCTCCCGAACTGTCTGGCGAAGTCCTCGCGCGAGATATCCCCCCTGAGCTCGAAGCCAAGGGTACGGTGTACGCCGACCAGTACCTCAGCCACCTGGTTCCGGCCGAGTACGACGACTTGCAGCGCCGTCAGCTATTCTGCGTTCTCGATCTTCGCCGCCTGAAATACGCCGCCAACGAGATCTTCACCAAGAAGGATTGGAAGCTCAACATTATGAATTTTGCAAAGGAATTCGAAAAGAGCCGGAGCTTGATTATGCTCAGATATGGCTTGTACGAGTTTAAGAATGTCAAGCCCTCAGAGGAGGTTTTGAAGAAGTGGAGGTCCGCACACGGGTTGCCTGAACCCGAGGAGGAAGCTGCGGATGCCAGCCCATCCAGGCAGACTACCCGTTCCAAGCGCAAGGCTGAAGACCAGTTGACTCCCAAGGACGCGGCCCTTTCTTCCGCTTCCCCCAATAAGAATAACAAGAGGCGCCTTGTAGATAGAGAGGAAGACGAGCCGGCGACGCCGGCTACGGTCAAGAACAAGAGAAAGGTAACTGTCGAGGATGAGTCGGATGAGAACCAGCCCAGCAAATTGCAGAAGTCCATCTCAACGCCCTCAGCTACCAAGAGCATGTTCGAAAAGATTGCCAACAACCAAGGTCCTTCTTCGACGCCCAAGGCCGCTCCCGCCCCTGCTCCCGCCCCCAAGGCTCCGGAGACCAAGCCCAGCAGCCTCTTCGGAGCACCACCCAAGGCCACTAACAACGATCTGTCGCGCTCCGTATTCGAGAAGCAGCTCAAGCCTGCCCAGGCATCCAACATCTTCGGTTACCTGTCTGATGCTAGTTCGGCAAAGAACAGCGGTGTGGAGGCCGACGCAGAGAGTGAGACTGATTCCGATGACGAGGCGGAACCCAGCGTTGCCGCTAGTGGTGGTGCCGAAACGCCGTTGGGCCAGCCGGCCTCCAACCTCTTTGGTGCTAAGAAGCCCCTTTTCTCTGCTGGCGCCGCGACTGCTCCTTCCAGCACTTCGTCCGACGCCCGGGAGACTACTCCCTCCGGAACTAAGAGTCTGTTCGACCGCGTGACTAAGGGCAACAATGGACAGCCTCTCCGTGCGGACTCGGCTGAGCCGGCCCCGGCCCCGGAGAAGCCAGCTTTTGCCCCGGCCAAGGAGGCTACTCCGGCCCCGGTCAATGCTACCTGGAACCCTAACTCGCCGATCAAGTTCAATGCCAACCCTGCGCCTAGCAATGGACTTTTCGGTGCGTCCACAAACGGATCGAGCTCCATTTTCGGTGCTAAGCCTGCCGCTCCTGCATCCAACTTGTTCGGCGCCCCGAAGCAAGATGAGAAGCCCAAGGCCGAGAAGCGGTCTGCTCCCGAGGAGGACCAGGGCGCGGAGTCCGACAAGGAGAACGACTCGCAGCGCCCTTCCAAGTCCCCCTTTGGCGGCTTCTCCGGATTCCAGTCGAAGCCGTTCGAGGCGCCCAAGAAGGATGAGGCAGCTCCTAAGCCGGCCGCTGCTCCGACTTTCGCGTTCGGTGCCTCTGCTCCCAAGGCGGAAGAGCCCAAGCCTGCCGCCCCAGCTTCAAATCTCTTTGGTTCCCAAGACAAGCCTGCGGGGTCTGTCATGCAGTCATCGACCCTCTTTGGCGGCAGCAAGCCTCAGGAGACTCCCGCCGCCGAACCGGCTAAGCCCCTCTTCGGCGCCGGCACATCAAGCACTTCGACTCCTTTCCAGTCGAACCCTCTCTTCGGTGCCCAGCCACCCGCGCCGAGCACCTCCAACCTTTTCGGTGCAAAGCCCAGTGACGAGGGTTCCAAGGCTCCGCAGTTCGCTCCCGCGCCCGCTGCGGCTCCTGCCTTCAGCTTCGGCGCCAGCAAGCCTACGGAATCCGCTGGGTCTCCCTTCGGTGGTAGTCCCATGAAGCAGGATGGCCCGCCGGCGAAGAGACAGTTCAACGCACCCGCTCCCTCCGCCGCGGCTGCACCATCTGGTGGCATGTTCAACTTTGGTGGATCCCAGAGCGCAGCCCCAGTTAACTCCTTCGGTGGCGCTGCGCCTACGCCTCAGACAAACGGTGGCTCCAGCGGCCCTCCCAGCTTCGGCTCCGGCGGTGGTTCATCCTTCACCTTCAGCGCCGGCGGCGGCGGCACGAGCTTCAACAACCCCTTCGCGTCTGCTAACGGCGGCGGCTCAGGCTCTGCTCCCGCGCCTTCGGCCGGCGGCATGTTCAACTTCGGTGGTGGTGGATCTTCCGCCCCCTCGAGCAGCTCCACGCCATTCCAGTTTGGCGGTGGCTCGTCTGCGCCTGCACCTGCGGCGGCAAGCAGCAGCCCCTTCCAGTTTGGAGGCGGCGCTCCCACTCAGCCTGCTGCCCCTGCTGCCTCGACTCCCACCTTTACCTTCGGTGCCGCTAATGGATCTGCCAGTGCTCAGGCACCTGCGTCTCAGAAGCCGCTATTCGGAGCCTCAACCCCAGCGCCTACGAGCAACCTCTTTGGCGGTGCCAAGCCTGCCCAGCCTCCCTCTGGTGGTATGTTCGGTAACCTGAACCCCCCCGCGGGTGCCTCTACCACTGGCACCAACTCACCCTTTAACTTTGGTGGTGCCTCCAGCCTAGCTACGACTCCTGCCACTGGCACTCCCGAGCCGACTGCGGAAGCCGACAAGGCCGCTGGTGGTGAAGGCGACGATGCTGATGGCATGCCTCACGAGCAGCTCAAGCTTACTGAGGGTGGCCCTGGCGAGGAAGACGAGGAAATCCTCCACGACGTTCGAGCCAAGATTATGAAGTTCATTCCGGCCGGATCCGAAGAAGACAAGGACAGCGGCGATGAGAAGCCCAAGAACAAGAGCCCTTGGTCAACCAAGGGTGTGGGCCCGTTCCGTATCCTGAAGCACAAGAACACGGGCGCGGTTCGCATGCTGCTGCGCGCGGAGCCTCGCGGGCACGTCGTGCTCAACCGCACCGTTCTGCCTGCTGAGACTTACAAGGCGGACAAGAAGTACGTCAAGCTCACGACCTCGAACGAGACGGGTAGCGGCCTCGAGACCTGGATGGTCCAAGTCAAGACGGAGGACTTTGCCAAGGCGCTGGCAAGCGCCCTGGAGACCCACAAGTCTGCCAACGCCAAATGAGGCCAATGATGGAAACGCAATGAAAAGGATTATGGAAGAATGCCAAAGCATGTGTTTTTGTTTTTCATCCTCCGTTTTTTGGTCTGAGTTTATACTAGACGGAGAGAGAGTATGTATGTTGCGTGTGTCTGTTTGTGACGGACACACATGTGATGGGAGTGTTGGGGTTTCGCGTAGCGACACAAAAAAGAAAGGTAAGGCATAGCATTGCTCTTTTGGCTCGGCGTTGGGACACAACTTTTGTTATTTTGGTTTTATTTTTCTTCTTCACTCGTTTCCTCTCGAGGTTGCCGGGGATTAGGTGCACTCCGTATTCGCATTGAGAGGGCGGATTTGTGAGGATTGAGAGAGAGGGAGGAGGATCCGAATAAAAAGTACAGTTGTAGAAGTCACATTGGGAGGAATAGGGGAATTGTAGTACATTATCAAGGAAATTGTGTACCCTGACTTGTGGCTTTGGTTCCCCGTGCTTGCTGTGAAGTTTAGGGATTGTATGTTGTTGCCCAAAGTTGATTCTATTCGATTATCAGCTTTGAAGACTGCTCTCCCTAGAAGTTTAAGACTTGAAAATCTGGTTCTCGTTGATGGTGACGGAGAAAAGTAGCCAGTATGGCCGTAGATCAAGAGCTCTCCGTCGTCAAGAAAAGGCGCGTAAGCTACCTGAGAAATATAACTCCAAGCGGCTGACATTACTGATTTCTCATCTTTGTTTTCTTCCTTCCTTCTCTGGGTCTATTGATTCCCTTTAAGCCTTTATGTTCTACGAGTTGGGCAGCGAACAAGCCGCGAGTCTTCCGGGGAGCGTCGTAGGGAATCGCCGGTTCGGGTGAGGACTCTGGACGGACTGGTCAGGTTTGGTAGGAGGTTTTCTCCACCCTTGGCGAATAGGCAATGCTCAATAGCTTCACGATAAAAGCTCATACTTTGTATCGTCCGTCTGGCGTGAGATCTGATAAGAGTTGGGATAAGTCTGGCGGGTGGGACCTTAACCTTAGAGTAGGTGAGGTGAGATGTTATACTTCGTTCATTGTATGTTTGTGGACCTCCGGGTACTTCCTAGCTCAATGACTCTTCTCCGAGATACAAGAAAAGAACACATGCCTTGCTTGGGGAGTTTACAACAGGACAACCTTTCGAGGTATTTTTATACTAGACGGCAGGCCCCGCTGTGGAATTGTTTCTAAGCAAGAGAGCCAAAGGCAGGTAAGTACCTTCAGCGGTCTTTTTTTCCTAGGTTCTTTTCCCGAGAACGCGAATCCAGTATCGCAGTGATATTGAAAACTACGAATCTCGAGCCACGACATAATTGTAAGCATGTTGGCTCTTGAAACTTGTCTCTAGCGTAGTGAATTTGTCTACATCTTGGTTATGGGCTTTGAAACAGGCAGCACGACGGCGCGGAGGAGTCGTAGCTAAATGACAGAAAGTTTATAATTGTGGTTTCCTGTCTCCTTCTACCTAGAATTGATCGAAAAGGCAAATAGAAAAAAAAAGGGGGGGGGGGGGAAGCAACAAAACATCAATTCCGTCTCAAGGCCTATCTCTACGTCATCGACCCCCTACTTCCGTGTAAAACCGTGGAGGAAACCAAAGGACATAACCCAGGTGACACGAACTCACTTTACCGAATCCATCTCAACAATATCTCTCATCCTCAGCCACCCTTTGCTCGTGAAGCAATGGAACCAGCTCTGAAGAGATGTTTTAGGGGAGGGGGGGGGCAAGCCGCAACAAACGCCAAACAAGTCTCCTATCACTAAAATTTCACATCCACTTCATTCATACAAGGCACAGCTAATGTTCGAGGTGTCGTCGTTTTGGACAATTGAGGGTAACTAGTGTACAAAGGTGGTGTTTGGCCAGGTCCAGTAGACACAGGCGAAGCGGTGCATGAAAATTTGCGCGCGACACAATGATCATCTTTAAACCCCCCCTCCAGTCCTTTTATGCATATTTCCTCAAGACCTATCCCTGTTTCCATGATCCACGATTTCGTTGATGCAAATGCTAGACCCCAGTTCCTGATGATGCTATGCCGAATAACAAGAAGAAAACATTCCTCTGCCCTGCCACATTTCCTGGGCTGTCTCTGTTCCCCAACCTTCGTTTCATGAGACAAGCCCGAGTCCCCGTTTCGCCTCCCACGGTCGGCGAGCATTATAACAAAAGAAAGTCCAGGGGTTCCTGTTCCCCAGATCCAGCCAAGTGTGACTAGAATGTACATGGTTCGCATGGCGTTTGCGGAATTAGTTGTCGTGCCTGAAAGTGCACTTCTCGCCTCTAGCGCACTTGCCCTGCTGCCAAAAGCTGCATGGCTTGGTCCCGATGAGTGCCCGATTGACAGGGCGATGGGGAGCGAGCGTGGCGCCTCCAGGGGCGTTGCCCTTGCGATTCTTGCCCTGCTTGCCACCCTTCCCTTCGCGATCACGGTCACGGCCGCGTTCCCTATCCCGCTCGCGTCCACCTTGATGCTCGAACTCGTCTCTAGTGTCCCGATCGCTGTAGTCCACAAGCTGGCGCTGAAGGTGGGGTGGAGGCTTATACGAGTTCGCGTCATGCTCAGGAGGGGACTGTGGAGCGGCTGGCGGAGGCGGTGCTTGCTGCTGATGCTGCTGGGGCTGTTGCTGAAGCTGTGCGAGCATCATCAGCTGCTGGTACCCAGTGTCTGATGGGTTCAGCCCATATGCGTTGTCTTGCGATGCCGGTTGCTGTTGAGCCATCTGGGCGAGCATCGCTTGAAGCTGGGATTCCTGTGTAGGCTGTGCCGCTGGAGCCGGGGTAGGTGCTACTTGAGCTGGTTGCTGAGGTTGCCCACCCTGCAGCATGGCCATGTACTGTGCGTACTGTTGCTGTTGCTGATAATAAGCTGCCCACTGCTGCTCTTGGGTTTCAGATGCAGCGGGTTGTTGAGTCTGGGCCTCGTTCTGAGGCGCGTTATGAGCTGTATCCTCTGCCTCCTTCCTGGCTCTTGCCGTAAGGTCCTTCTGGTATCCGGCCCACCACTCCCTTGTTCTTTCCGGGTCATTTGCCAAGTATGCTGGTGGACTAGTCGCCGGGTATGGCAGTCCTCTCAACGTCTCAGCCGCATCCTCGACCTGGTCGGCGGCTGCTTGGACGCTTGGATCCGGATAGTCATAGCGTCGATGAGTCTGTGGGGCAGCCGAATTGAATGGGTTGGCATCTCGCCAGGTCTTCACCTCGTCGGAAGTGAGAATGCTGTGAACTTTGTCGTCGAAGGGTATCGCCGGAATAGGCTGCATCTCCACTGCGGGAGGGATAATCGGCTGCGCGTTCTCCTTTGGCGGTGTCATGTTATACGGTTCGGGCTCTACGGCTGGGGCAATTGGCTTGAGGTTGCCCAAAATCGAGTTGAGCTTTGCGCCGGGGTCGTCCTTGGCATCAAGGCGCTTGCGGGCATAGTATTGTGCCGCTTCCCAACCGAACGTCTGTGTCTCCTTCCAGCGCTTGTGGATCTCATCGTACTTCGGCTCACCCTGAGGCAGCTGATAAACTTTGCCCTCGGAATCGCTCGCGACTGTCGCAGACTCAGGGGCTGGAGACTTGGGTGTAGGCGGAATGTCGGCAATGTCCATATAGGTGACCATGAGCTCCTTCTTCTCCCGCTCCTCTATGGCTTTCTGTTCCTCTGTGTGGAAAGTCAGGTTACCACCACGAGTGACGTAAGACTTGTTGCGAATGTCTTCGGGGATTCCAGACAGGTCGGTGAGGGCAGGCATGGCCCAAGGCTTCTCTGGCAACTCGTCCTCCTCGTCATCATCCTCATTGTAATTGCGCTGCTTGAGCATCATTCCCTCGGATCGGTCATCCGCCGCGTCCTTGGTCATGTTATCCTCGCCTTCTGCGACCTCTTTAGTGAAAATACGGATCTCCACGAGCTCCTCAGGAGGCTTGAAGCTGACACGGAGATGGCGGCGGGCCTCTTTGCGAAGTCGCTTTGCCTTCTGTTCAGGCGTCTCCGAGATATCTTTCTTGCTCGAATCCTTCGCCTGTGTCGAGGGGCCGTCCGGCTTAGGCGCGGTGATGGAGTCGAGGAGAGAAGCAATGCTGGACAAAGAGGAGCCGCTGGACACAGCAGCCTTGACAGCAGACACCCTCGACTCGGGCTTAACCGCCGACGCTGCTGGCTTCTTGTCGACATCCATAGGCGTGGCTGTGTTAAGTCCTTCGGATTTCGAAGGCTCACCCTTGGGAGCGTCCCTTGTCACAACTGGCTTAGGTGCCCGAATTTTGCTGGCCAGGGTAGTCGCTTGTACTGGTCGCTTTGCACCAGCACCAAACTTGGATTGCAGAGTTCCGGCCACCGGCTTGGCACCGATTTTGCTACCTAGCACGCCGCCTGTTGTTGACTCCACGGCTATCTTCTTGGTAATGCGAGAATCGGTTTCCTCATCCCGGACTCTCTTAGCAGGAGAGCCATCAATAGGCTTAGCGACCGGTTTGGTGACTTTGCTGACAGGAGCAGCCGACGTTGTCTTCTTGATCTCGACCCCATTGGCTGTCTCTGTATCTTTCTTAATCCTCGACGCTATCGTACGGACCAATTCCTTGACCTCAGCATCGCCTTTGTCAGCAAGGCGCTTCCGCACGTTCTCAAAATTGACAGCTTCTGTAACTTTCTTGAACATGCTGATGTTTGACATGAATCGAAGAAGAGCCTTAGGCAGAGGCCCGCTGAAATCACCAGCCTTTATGGCGCCTATCAACATGTTGACCAGACTCAGAATGCCCTTCTGATGACCGCCAAAGTTCTCCAGTACGGCCTCATCGCCGTGCTTAGCTGCCGCTTCGCAGACTCGAGTGAAGGTCTCCTTCTTGACGTCGAGCTTTTTGTTCCACTCTGAAATCTCCTTCTCAGGCTTCTTCTCCTTTGTTGCTTGATCGAGCTCCTGCTTCAAACGGTTCGTCTCCGATCTCAGCTTAATGAAGAACTCACCCAGAGACTGAACGGCGCCAGCAATGAGCGCATTCGTTCTGGTCGCGGAGGGATCAATGTAGACAATGCCGAGGATGTCCCAAACAGCACCTTCAATAGGATCTGCGGGTCGCTTCTCAGGACGAATGGGTTTCTTTCGCTCTTCTTCCTCTTCCTTTCGAGCTTTTCTCTGGGCTTTGGATTTGGCGGCCTCGTCGGCCTTGAGCTGCTCCTGGAAGGCGAAAGGGTAGTCGGCGTACTTAGGCCGCCGAAGGCCCAAGTTCGTCATCTCACGTTGATATTGCTCGATGAGGGGTTTTGCTTCCGTCTCGCGGTCGTCCGGCTTTCCGACAAAGTTAGGGGACGGCTTGTAATTTTCCATGAATCTCCCTTGAATCTCGCATGGGAGATCGGGGCGAAGTTCGGGCAAGATACGTCTGCCATTTGGCGACGGCAAAGCAACTAGAGGGGCGAGTCGGTCGTAACTCTTGGGCGGGATTAACTTGGCTGAGCCAGTAGCAACAAGAAACGAAGCTCCTGGGATGGGAGGGAACTGCTTTTTGGATGTGGCGTTGCGTTTCTTAAATTGTGCCAGGAGAGACAATTCTTCCTCGGTGCTGGAAGGCAGGACCAGTGTTTCTCCATCTTCTCCCTTTTTAACGGTCGCATCGCCAGGGGAATCGGCTTGTTCAGGTTCAGGCTCCTTCTTGACGACACGCTTGCGCTTCTTCTGCGGCGCCGGCTCAGGTTGGAGTGCAGGGTCGATGATAGGCGTTCCAGGTTGAGAAGCTGGTGCTGCAGCGATGAGCTGCGGTTGTGATGGCTGCAACGGCTGTTGATGGTTGTGCTGCTGCGGCTGCGGCTGTTGTGGCTGGAGTTGACGAGCCGGTGCCGGTGAAGGGACTGGCTTGGCCTGGTGTATGGGCTGTTGTTGCTGGGCTTGCGGAGATTGCTGAGGTCCCGAGTCCTGACCTGGCATCTGCCTTGCAGCAACGGGCTGAAAAGGTGATCTTGCTACAGGCTGAGCATAAGACATTTGCTGAGGGACAAACTTGCTCTGCTGGTATTGCGGCGGTTGGGTTTGCTGGAAAGATGGCGGGGGCGTCTGAGTAGAAAAGCCCTGGCTGTTTTGTTGGCGAGGGGGCTGCCCCTGAAAGGGATGAGGTGATTGAGAAAAGACTCTCTCAGGCTGGGCCTGATGTTGTTGAGGTGATGGAACATAGCCCTGAGGAGCGGGTGAGAAAGACTGGGGAACAGAGTCGAAGCGCTGCTGTAGCTGCGCCTGAGACTGGTGGCCATGCTGAGGCATGAGTTGAGCCTCGGCATATTGAGGAACGTTTCCATTGAACAGCTGATTGGGCTGACCGTTATATTGGAATTGTTGTTGTGTGAAATCAGGAGTATGGCTGTGGTTGAGGTTGTCGATGTTGGCGTTGTTAAAATCAGCCTTGCTCGGCTGGCCGTATAAGTCTTGGGGGTATTCACTTAGACTAGCCAAAGGGTCTTCTTGGCCAGCGTCTGTGTATGCAGTGTCAAGCGAGAATTGGCCATGGCCGTTATGGAAGTTGCCGTGGTTCAACGTTGACATGCCGTTGTGGTCGTTGGCTACGACGGCATGCCCTTGATGTGGTGAAGCATAGAGATTATTCTCGTTGGTGTTGCCTCCTCCCCGTGGCGCAAGTTGTGGAAAAGCATTTTGGTTGGGAATTTGATGCTGCCAATTTTGGGAGGCATCGAACTGGTTGGGTCCATCAGGGAATGCATAGGAGCCCGACCACATATTATTGTGGCCTTGAGCAGATCCCGCCTGGCCATTTTGCTGCCAGTTCTGCATTATATCGGCCTCTTCCTCCGTTATGGGAGAAGACGCACTGAGAGACGATGAAGTTTAGGAAATCCTCATGCAATCATTGGTGGAGAGCACTGCACAGCTGGAGCCAATTAGCATCTGTCCGATGGAGGTGCACTACTTTTGGCACGCCTTCTAGCTTGACGGTGCAGCAGGGTGATCAGACGAGCGAGGGAAGAAAACTCGACGCTGATTGGGGACTGCCAGGGATGAAAGCGTTTGGGGTATGGGAAAAGAAACTCCTTCAAGAGGTGGGGTGGAGATAAGAGTTTGGAGGAAGTTAAGGTTCGTTGGGTGGGATCAAATCCTCAAAGGTACTTCTCGCAGCCAAAATGCTGTCGAGGAACATGAAGTGGAGAAGAACGGGGGTCGGACCGGTTAATTGCCGGCCGTGGACTTGCAGCTTACCTTGATGTGGCAGTGGGTGAGGATGGAATGCACTAGTCTAAATGCGTCGAAGCGGCAGGGATTGTGGTGTGGTGAATGCGCCGAAGACACAGAATTGTGATGGTAGGGGAATGATGGAGGGCGATCGTGTTGTCTCTTGCCTGGAGAGGACTGTAAAAGTTGGTTAGCAATCAGGAACGGCATGGGTATGGCAAGACTGTGTGTGTGGTTTGTGTATGGAGTGTTGATATGAGATTGACATGTAGAAGTTACGATTTTTCTCTCTCGACCACTTGGTCTATAGTAAAATCGTTTGACGCTTTGGTGCCTGTGGAAGGCGCAGTTGATGGAATCCTGGAAGAGCGAGCGGTGCTGGAGGAGAAGCCAACTCCCGAGGAGCACTTAGAGAAGCTGGGAAGGTCGCTCTCTTGCAAAGCTGGAGATGGAGGGCATTGAAGTGTCTGTTGAAAATTTTCCTGGGTTGCGTGATTGATGGATGATGGACGCTTGATTGATTTGCAGTGGAAATTGACTCCGCGCCGGGGGATGATTGATTTGGCTTCAAAGGCAGACGTTCTTCTCTCAGTGCTCCTGTTTTCCAGTGTGGTTTGTCTGTCTCCTAGCCGACGGCGAGTGGTGAAGGCGAGCTGAGTTGAGGTGGCCAGAAGGTGTTGGGTGGTCCCTTGTTTCCAGTGGGCTACATCCAGCCGACCGTTCGCTGTGGTGGAGGTCCAAGGCCCGAGACAGCGCGCTTCGAGGGGGGAAGGGTCAGATGCACTGCCCGTAGACCCGCCCTCTGCACCCAATCCAATATTCCGTCTGTCTGCAACTTGCGCAGCAAGTCTTGAATGGCGATGTCGAATTGAGTGAGTTTGATGGGCGCGAAGCTGAAGGTGTGGAGGATGAAAGCCACGCTTCGCAGCGCCGACAAGTATCCCTGAGAGGAACTGAGTCGTCTGAATTGCCCATTCTGCTTGCTCTTGGCCTTCATGTATCCCTTTTTGCATGGTGGATGTACCAACCGATGCCCGCCGCGCCGCGGAACAAGGCGTTCTGCTTTGCAAAACATTTTAAACATGAGGTTTACTCGTGTCCTTGTCCACATTTCCACGCGCGGAGTGTCTGCGTCTGCCCCTGATCTGTTCCGACTTTGCAAATTTATCGCTGCACAAGTCCAGTGCGGGTTGAGTTCGAACGCCAAAGCTTCATCAAGAATTTTCACTCAAACAAACATTGCCATGTCTGCGTCTCCTTTGAGGAGTGGATGGTGACCGAATGATGTTGATAGGAATCCCGCTCATCATGATGGCGGTATGTTGGACAGATGAGTGGTGATTTGGGGGAAGGGATTGAGTAGCGTGGGAAAGGGGACAAATGTGAGGTTGGCTTGGGGGAAGAAGTGTATCATACCCTGCAGTTCTTGTCTCTCTCTGTTCAACGCGACTTATCTTGCCTTCTGAGAAGAGCTGGCTTCGCGACCTTAACGTGGTTCGCAGCGTGGATTGATGAAGGTCGCGCAGATTACAACATGACCGTCGACTGCCCCAAGAGAAGAGCGAGCGCAGACAGTCACAAAAAAAGAAGGGAACGAAATGGAACGATCGCCGTAAATCTAGCAGGCGACAATCAACCAGGCAAGTTAAGTGCCTGATGCCGCCTTCAAAAGTTCCGGAAAATAAAGATCCAGAGTCGCTCAGAGTTGTCGCTAGAGGCCCTTCCGACGCGTCTTCCTGTCGATTATTTTCCGTGCGGTTGGCGATGACTTGTGCTGATGGTGAAGGAGGAAGAAGCGGGATGAGTTGTCGTTGCGGAGGAGGAAAAGCTGGTCATTGTTTCGCAGTGGCCAGTCCAAAGGGAGGCGGGAAGGTCACTTTGTGGCCGCACTTTTTAGGCATGACTGACTGCGAGGTGGGTCTGAGCCAGAAGGGGCCAACACTTTCCAAGTCGGAAGGGGCCACGGACGGACCTGACTTGCCTTCGCTGTGACTGGACAGGGCCCCGTGCCTTCCCAGTTCCGCGCTGCACCTTTTTAGCCACAGGCTTTTATCGGCAGCTGCGCAACTCAGTTCGCCGGGCCCACTCTAGAGTACCTAGGTACTCTAGGTCCAAGTAGGCACGTAGGTAAGCACGTACTTGTAAGGTACGGTAGAGGCCTGGCTCTCACCTCACCGCCCAGGACCGTCGGATCACGGAGGCTCAGTATTGCCGTCCCATGACATCGTGCGGTAGCACGGGCAAGTACCAAGGTATCCACTCCAGCACAAGCACAGGGCAGGTTGGCGGAATCATCCAGGAAATGTGGCTAGACGGCACTTTGAGGACACCGATGCTGGAGCCGTGTACGTACCTCTGTCTGTCGCAACAGCAAGACCTCAACCTCGATTGCACAACGCGACCACGGAGAGCGATTGATTGAAAGGCGCAGCATACACGTTTGATAGCAATATCCAGTTCTGGCCTACAATTTTTCTTAACCCATCAACACCCCTCCTGCAGCAGCAACAGCTCTCCCAAGCTAGCTAGAGCTGCAAAGCTCCCCCACCATCGGCATGGCAGCGAAGGGCCACTCACTGCGCGATCGCCAGATCTGTACGTCGCATAACCTGTTGCGCCCATGTTCTATAGAGAACTTTGGAGCTAATGAGAACTGAAGCCGCCTTAAAGAAGCTCCTCAGCCTGAACGACTCCTACTCGGATAACGACACCGAGAACACTCAAAACAACGGCGGCGCACTTGGACCGACGGGCGCAATCATCACCTCAGATGGCGACCCCCTGTGGAAGGTCCTGGTCTTCGATGACCTTGGCCGCGATGTCATCAGCAGTGTGCTCCGTGTCAGCGATCTGCGAGGGCTGGGAATCACGATGCACATGTATGTCTGCTTGCCTCAAGAGCCCGGTATCCTACTGACGTGAATCCAGGCACATTGGAGCATCAAGACATGCTATCCCCGACGTACCTGTCATCTACCTCCTCGAACCTACGGCGCAGAACCTCCAACACATCACTAGCGATCTCCAAATGGGCCTATACACTCCCGCATACCTGAACTTCTTGTCCTCCATTCCTCGACCGCTGCTTGAAGACTTTGCGGAGCAAACGATAACCGCCGGCACATCGGACAACATTGCCAGACTCATGGATCAGTATCTAAACTTCATCGTTGCCGAACCAGATCTTTTCAACCTGGGTATGCAGCGAGACCACACGTACTGGGCTCTAAACAGCGCAACGACGAACGACGAGGAGCTGGACAGGGTGGTAGACAGGATTGTCAGTGGCCTCTTCAGCGTCATCGTCACCATGGGTGTCATTCCCATTATCCGGTGCCCCAAGGGCGCTGCCGCGGAAATGATCTCTGCCAAGCTTGACCGAAAGCTTCGCGACCACATTCTCAATTCCAAAGAAAACCTCTTCTCTTCGAGCGCCCGTCCGGCGTCGGCAGGAACGCCACAGTCACGACCTGTCCTTATCATTCTCGACCGAAACGTCGATTTAATACCCATGCTTTCCCATTCTTGGACCTACCAGTCACTGGTCCACGATGTTTTGAATATGAAATTGAACCGAATCACGATAGAGACGCCCATAGACGAGAACAACCCTGCCAAGGGAAACACCAAGAAGGCTTACGACTTGACGGCGAGCGATTTCTTTTGGACCAAGAACGCGGCTGTACCGTTCCCTCAAGTAGCCGAGGATATCGACGCCGAATTGACGAGATACAAGGAGGACGCGGCGGCCGTCACCAAGAAGACAGGAGTGACAGACTTGGAAGACCTACAGAATGATACCAGCGCCAGCGCACAACACCTGAAGGCGGCCATTACCCTTCTGCCTGAACTTCGCGAGCGCAAGGCTGTGCTCGACATGCACATGAACATCTTGGCAGCGCTTCTGACCGGCATCAAGAACAGGCAACTCGACAACTTCTTCCAAGTCGAGGAGGGCGCCGCGAAGCAGACCAAGGCTCAAATACTGGAGCTCATCAAGGACAGTGCAAAGGGCGACGAGCCGGTTGACAAGCTCAGATTATTCGTCATCTGGTACCTTAGCACCGAACAAGACGTCAGCAGGGCAGAGTGGGAAGGCTTCGAGAAAGCCCTGACAGAGTGCGGCGCAGACACAACCTCTCTGCCGTACATCCGACAGTAAGTTCCTCCTGACGTGGCATTAATACTTTCTGCTCTGCTCTTTGACACTGACCCCCCGCCCTCACAGAGTCCGCGCCACCACCAAGATGACCCAGCTCACCACAATCTCCAACCCGACGACAAACCAGGCCGGCTCATCAGACATCTTTGGCCGCTTCTCTTCCATTTCCAACCGCCTCACCGACCGTCTGAAGGAAAGCGGCGTCCCTACTGGCCTGTCCTCAAACTTTGAGTCCCTCATTGGCGGCATCAAGAACTTCCTCCCCGCCAACCGCGACCTAACAATCACAAAGATTGTCGAGTCCATCATGGACCCCTCCACAGCCGCCAGCTCCGCCATCGCAAAGACGGAAAACTACCTCTACTTCGATCCCCGCTCCGCCAACGCCCGCGGCACTATGCCCCCACCCAGCGCCATCCGCGCCGGCGCCGGCGGGTCTTCGGCACCAGGTGGTCTCCCCGGCCAAGCCGCAGCCGGCACGGGCGCCAGCTTCGGCCAGCGTCGCCAGGGCTTCTCCGAGGCCGTGGTCTTCACCGTCGGCGGCGGCAGCATGGACGAGTACGGAAACTTGCAGGAGTGGGTCGAGCGGACGGGCGGCGACCGCGCGAGGAGGAGGGTGGTGTACGGCAGCACGGAGATTCTCAACGCCGACGAGTTTATCAAGCAGGAGCTCGAGAGGCTTGGCAAGGAGGTGGCCTCGTAGAGCGGCGGCGGTCATTATCACGGGATTTGAAAGTCACTTCATTGAAAGAGTCTGTTCCCTCCCATCGTCTCTCAATTCTCCGCCGCGCTGCGGCTGTACAAGTGTGAGAAGGTTTTCAAAAAAGCAGTAAATACGATTCCCAAATTGGTTCAATTATACACTTTTGACTGGTGACTTCTTTTGCTGTATAGAAGCCATCCGTCCCCATCTGCCTGAGATCCATGAAATAAATGAAAGCTTTACATGTTTGAACTTTGAGGGACAAGTAGTCGAGAAATATCCGTACCTAGACAGAAAGAATAACATGTTTTACTCAGACTTCTCAAGATCTATTGTCTATTCAAGCATACATGCATGCAATCACAACTTTTAAGCTTCATTGAAATATTGCGCATCCTCATAGCAGGTAAAAGGTTCAGTTTATTGTCTCATCATCATTTTTCTCAGAAATACTTGCCCTCGTCTACCTCAACCCGCCTCTCTAAACCACATGCACCTTCCCAAGAATGCCCTTCCCGCTACCCCGCCAAGAGGCGCCTCATCAAGGTTCATCACCGCCACCACCCGTCAAGGGCGGTGAAACCATGCTGAACCTCGAGAGACATGCAGAAGAATGAATAAGAAGAAAACTCCAATGAAGGCGGTCCCATGGTGATACCAGAGAACCCGAAACGCAACAAGAGACGGCGGGGGCGGGTAAGGGCGGGAAGAGAGAGGATAGACAGGGTTGAGCAAATACCGAAACGCATAGCAATAAAATAAAAAAGCAAAGTCATTAGAGTTACATCCAACCCCGTGATCGTACTCAAAACATGATGAAGGAGTTTAGAAACTCTCTCCAAAGTCGTGTTCGCCATCCACAAAGCCCTCTTCTCCAAAAGAAAGGGGTGGGTATAATGCTCACGAAACCAAAAGTCGTCAGAAAAGTAATCATCCCCGCTACACATAATGCTCGTATCTACCAGCAATCATACACCTCTGAACATACGGACCACGAGGAACCACATCGCGCCGATGAACTTGAATGACGAAAGACCTGCCACTGACCACAACACAACCGACATGTAGATGTTGGCACGGCCGTCCGTATCGTCAGTGCTACTGGCGGTGGGACTTATCCTCTCCAGGCCAGCGGCACTGAGGACGACGGCAGCAAGGCCAAAGTTGGAGATCATCCAGGCCAACACTACGACGGAACGGACACCACGGTAGTAGTCCATTTGAGCCTCGGCCTTTTGCGAGTCCGTAGGGGCCTTAACTTCTTGAACGAATTTGGCGCTAAAGACCTTGAGCTCGCGCTCGTATTGGGCGTTGAGGTCAGCCTCATCGGGAAGATCGGTCTTTCCTGAACCGTCCTTGGTGCTGACGGTGGGCAGCTTCTCGGCGCCGTCGTCACCCTTTGTACCCCATGAAATATCGTGGGTGTTGCAGAATGCGTAGACGTTGAGAATGTTGGTGTAGGTAGGCGTCAGAAGCATATACTGCGCAAATGAGGTGATCATGTGCCAGGGGTCGAACATGAGCAGCGAGGCGATCAACCAAATACCGTAAGTCGACATGACGGAAATGATGAGGGTGTAGAAAACCGGGTTCTTGAAGAGGTCGCTTACGTTGAAGCCGTTCGAATCGTTGACATCAGCGATAATAGCTTTGACAGCAATGAACACAGCGGCAAACAACAGGTAGCTACGAAGATGTTAGTAAGCTTGCCATCATATAGTCAGTCAGAATACACTCACATCATTATAAGCGCCCAGAAGTAAACCATCGTGATGTAGTAAGCACCGGAACCGGCTGGTCGGTTACCCATGGAGAGAACGAAACAAGTCATGAGTGAAATTCCGTAGAGCCAAGTAAAGACGACACCGAGGATCTCGCCGGTCCTACCAAGCAAGTTGTCCTCGCCCAAACTCGTCGTAAGAATCTTGAAGACCAGGAAGAAGTTACCAATGGCGAACCATGCGAAAATCATGTTAATCGTGTTGAAGACGAATTCGATGAAGAACATGAGCTTTCGCAGGATAGAGTGATCGGACCGGAAGAATTCGTAGAAGTGGGCAATGGCGTAGATGGCAGCGAAGAAGGAACCGTTCAACCAACGACGACGTTGGAGGACAAGCTCCGTAACGGTGTCCGGCACGTCAGTCTCGCCGGTAGCAGACTTAACGTACTGCAGAATCCAATGGCAGTTTCTCTTTGTGACGAGCTCGAAGCAGAGAATACGATCCTCGGCAAGGTACATATTCGATGTGAAGATACCAGCGCCGGCACCCTCAAGCTTCTCACCAGCAAAGTACTTCTCCAGTGGACCCTGGCCGTTCTTGTCGTTCTGCAGCGCAACGTAGCGGTAGGCTGAGAAAGCACCAGGCAACACGGAAATGAAGCCAAAGGCGGATTCCAGGGGCTTGTCAAGAATATTGCTCATCTTGTACTCAAAGTTCTGTGTCGCCACCAAGGGATTCAGGAGGTGCTTGCCGCCCGTGCCTACAAACCATCAGTTAGATATGTAAAAGCTAGGAGGAAATTTTTTCATCAAACGTACCCAACATGGCCTTGATTTCACCACAAGCGCCAGCGCACATGGGCTCCAGGTCGAAAGCCTTCCACAGGTGGTAAATGGAGTTTCCACCGGGCTTGGTACCGGCATCGATAAGAACACAGATGTTGGGATCAAGAACGCGGCCGAACGCCTGGAAGAACCATCTGTGGGAGTTGATCTTCTTTGAGTTCTTCTCCTTCAAGCAGAACAGCATTTGAACAGGCTGCTGCTTGGGGACCAGGGTGACAACATCGTTCTTGATCGTCATGCCGACTTGGGAGGTGTATTCGTAAATGTGAGCCGTGACATCCTTGCCGTTGACCTGTTGCTTCGCGATACCCTCCTGGTAGACACCCATACCAGCCAGAAGCGCTCTTGTTCTGGGGTTGATCTTGCCACGACCGTCGCTGACTACACAGACAACAATCTTCTTCCAGGCATCCTTGCCCCACGTCTTGCTCTCTTTCCGGCTGCACATGTACTCGACGTTCTTCAAGACACCAATCATTGTCCGGGCGAACAAGATTTCGTCCTCATTGTACATGGTGACGACAATAAAAAGCTCCGTATGTCTCGGCTTGGAGAAAAGCCTCTGTCTAAGTGTGAAGTTGTCGTCGTAGAAGAAGTTCGGGTCGCAAGTAGCGGCGGAATAGCGCATGTGGGTAAATTCGTCACGCTCACCGTGGGGAAGCTGGTTAAGCAGTCTTGGGGGCACGGGGCAGTCGAGAACCAAGTTTCCGCGGTACAACAAAACCTGCTTTACGGTCTTCCACCTCTTGATACCTCCTCCAGCTGGCTGTGGTGTCGGGTTGTCCTGGTATCCTCCATCGGTGGTCATAGTGTCCTGATGAGGCAGCATTGGCCTGTTGTCGTCATACTCGTTGTATCCAGTAGGTTGATCGTAAGGGTGTGCAGGATCGTGGGGTGAAGGCTCGTAAGACTGGTTGTAGTAGGCGTCATGATGCGCTTCCGGGTTGACACCGTAGTCGCCATGATTGACTGGTGTATCGTACCCGCTCAAGTTGCTAACAGAGTGCTATGTGCCAACGTTTATTAGTCCAGTTCCATATCAAGGGTCTTGGGCATTGCTTACTGCTGCGTTCAATTGTAATTGATCACTGGGAGTGCCGTAGCGGCCAGGTGCCATGGGGATATCAAGCTGAGAATGAGGACTGGGGCGTCCATACGGGTCGTCGACATGCTGAGGAGGAGGCTGGTGGTATCCTTGCTGTGCCTGGTTGTTGAATGGGTTATCCTCCAGCTGATAGCCATGCTGGGCCGGCTGGCCTGGCGAAGGCGTACGATGGTACCGGGGGTCCATCCGGTCGTTGTAGTAATCGTCGTCTATAGGAAGAGAAGGTTAGGTTGGCCGTCTACACAAACAAGTTGCCGTTTCTCGAGATTGGGATGTTAGGAAGGCAAGAAAGAGGTAGTTGTAGGAGAGGAAAAGAAGCTTGCGCCACGGAAGGTGCGTATTCGTACTTCTTGGATGTACGGATAGTATGCGCCGGACAAGCAAGCTCTTTGACAAAGACAGTGCGGTCAGGTACGGATGACGAGATGATTTGACCGAAGACCATACATAGGGTAGTAGAGGGTTGTTGGGGACAAATCAGGTCTTGGGCTTTTTGCGGGAGGGAGGAAGATGTGGGATGAATGACGCCAAGGGTCAATATCAGAAGGGGACCAAGTTACTTGCCTAAACGATTATACGACATGGTTGCGATGGTACGGGGGGTCAATCACAGGAACCAGTGTCTGATGTTTGTGGCCAGGAGAGTCCGTGGGTGGATATGAATATGGATCGGGAAGACGATTCGCGTCCCTCGGGGAGAGCGGGATGCTGCTTCTTGGGAGGCCGGCGGCGTTGTTGGCAGTGCTGCGGATGCGCCGTGCTATGCAGACTTGGTTCTTGGCCAGTCAGAGACGTTGTATCCGTAGGCGTTAGGTAGATTGAGGTGGGCGCTGGAGGGAGCGAGTAGGTAGTGTCGCGGGGCAGAGAGGAAGGAGATGTCGAGATGGAAAGTGGATAGGATGGGAAAGTTGGGACTGTTCGGCGCTTCTCAGAGAGTTGAGTCGCAGAGTTGCAGTCGCGCAGCAAGACAGTCGCACCTTCTCTCAGTCGTCGAATCGGTCTCTGTCGGCAGTCCAACTTTCAGGTAAGCTGAGCCCCTATCCCTTTTTCTTTCTTGCTTCTGCTTCCCCGTGAGGTAGGGTACTGAGGTACAGTTGTGGTGGGTGAGGTGCGCAAGGTTTTGCTCGTGCTCTCTGGCCTTCCAATCCCAGGCAGGGCAGGGCAGGTTGTTCAAGGAGGTTGCTGGTTGGGTTGCACAGCTTGAGGAGGGCAGTGAGGGCTGTGGTGAGGAATGCGGTATGGCCGCGCGGGTCGGTGCTCAACTCAATGCGCCTGACGGGTTTCGGGGTTGTGGACGGGAGAGATCCAAGAGGGGGGGGGGGGGTTCCTGTGATCCAGCGGGAGGAGTGAATATGTGACTTGTGAGGGAGGTGAGGGAGAGGAGGAGAAGAAGGGATGTGTTCGGTCGAAACGTTGAAAGGTGGGAGAGGTCAAGGAGGACGTCTCTCGAGAAACCTGGGAAGGCACGGTTTCAAGCTGATTGAGCCGTAGCAGATTGTCTGCGGGAGGCAGGGCAGGACGCAGGATGACCAGGATGGGACCCGGGGGGGTTGTGTTGATGGGATGGGACTTTTTTACTTGGGATGCGGGAGGAGGAGTACCTTACTGTCATGACTGTGTACCTATGGACAGGGGTAGCGATGGTTGAAGGAGCGACCGCAAGTGCGCAGTTGCCAGTCGCAGACAAGCTGTGGAGGCTTTGGAAGGGAAAGTACCCGTTTAACACCGTTGCGCAGCAGCAACACCAGCACTCAGCCAGCCAGCTAGCAGCAAGACAAAACAGGCGTGGAGCTGTGCAAGCGCAGTCAGCCTTTTTGCTTTGCTCCATTAGATCTCATACTGCGTGCTCCATACATAATTACGCGGTATCGGTAAGGCAGTGTGGATTCCAAGTTGGAGGAAGGATCCGCAGCTAAGGTATCTTACGGATAGGTACCTTACTGTACAGTGGTAGTGGTAGGTACCTCTTAGTTTGCGCTATCCAAAATGGAGGTTGAGTTGTCGCGTTTCAAGTGTGGCGCGGCGCCTTTCGCTTCTGTACTCTTGATATCGGCTTAGTGCCAGATTACCTTGCCTCAAGTACCTACCTTACTTGGTGTACTTAAGAGGATTTGCATATCACAACACCTTCAACTGCCTTGTACCTGATCAAGAGCTTCGAGAAGACTTCTCAATGTGCGGACAGTGATTTGTGGCCTTCATCGGAGCAATGGGGGGGCGGGTGACGTCGCCGCGGGCCTCACGGGTGGACATTGTCAGGGTCCCCCTTCGGCTCTGAAAGCCTGCGGATGCCAGCAACCCAAAAAAATGTGTGAGAGACGGTGGTGGACTATGGACTGGTGGTGCGTGTGACGAGCTTAGCGGGCTGGCGGGGAGGATTCCATTTCGGAGAGGGGGGCAACCAACAGTAACACCATGGCGATGGGGGGTCCTGGCTTTCCAGGTTTGGGTGTGAGGGATGTGACTGAGTACGGACCATGATTGGGTCCCTGAAGCAAAAAGAAAAAGAAGAAAAAAAGCAGGCAGGCCGGCAGGCCGGCATTGTCGAGCAAAAGTGTGGACGGGATGGCCACGCCAGAGACGACTGCAACTTTTTTACATGAAGGTGACGTGAAAGTCTGTCCCTAATTTACGGATACATCATACTGCTGTCCAGTGCTGCATGGCAAGCCGTCAAAATGTCTGTCCACCTGTCCGATTTCCCGCCCGGCCTTTCTGTCCGTTCATCTGCCAGACGTTAGTATCACCTTCAACAAGCTTTCGTATTTTTTCTTATACGGTATGCCTGCATGGTCTGAATCCGAATCGAATCCGGGACCGTGATATCTCCCACCCTCGACTTGAAAGTTGGAGCCCTCTTTTCTTCGTTCCTTCCTTCTTCTATCCCCCCCCCCCCAACTCCCGAGCGCAGTCCTGTTCGCTGCGCCGCGCAAGGTACCCGCGACGATCGCCAGAGATTCCAAGCAATCAACAAGTGCCGCAACAGCCGTTCGTCGCCCATTCGATGTGTCGCGTTCCTGTGGTTGCATGTGCTGCTGGGATCCGTTGTTTAATTCTAAGCAGAGGGAAGGGGCCCATCTTCCGAAGCCCATTGACAGGGTAACCGGCGCTTTCCCTTTGATGACCAGGGGTCAAACGCTGTGGAGCCCTCCTTCCTCACCAGCAACCACTCAGCGTGTCACCTCAGACTTGAAGCATGGGCCATGGGTAAGTACTCCGAGAGGTACTTCATGGATACGTACCTCTACCGACATGCGCATCTTGCAAGTTCCATTGCGGGGGCTTAACCTTTGCGTGTGTCTCCAAAAATAAAATTAAAAAAGATACGCAGTGAGAGAGAGAACTGGAAGGAGAAGACGTATCGACGCCACACTTGCCCCCAAGGTGACGACGCCTCCACGGATCACGGCCTCCAACCTGTCGTGCGCCAATGTGCCTGCATGCCTTCCCGTTGCGTCTCCACTTCGAGATTGCTCAGCCTCACTCCTCGGTCTTCTCTTCTCGGATTCAAGCATTCACCATTCGAACAATTCCCACCATTGGCACACACTGTCTCATACACAATCCGCGAAACTTCACAACCCCAGCGCCCAAAACCTCGCCTCCGTCAGCCCCCCTCGAGGACTCTGGCGCGCGGAATCTGCCCTCACCGAACAAAAATCCACCAACCCGGACCCGGCTCTTCCCCGCCAACGCCACACACCGAGCCGGGCGGCCTTGTTCCCCGCCATTGGGGCTGAATCGCCTCATCCGTTGCCAGAAAACCTGCTGCGGTCACAACAGGTTCGCCCGTCGCTGCTATTCGCCTTTCTCGCGCCTAGGTAATCCAATGGGTTTCCCCCAGGTCCATCCGCCTCCTCGAAGAATGACGTGCACTCGCTTGAACATCCCAGGAACAGGAAAAAAGAGAGATCTATCCGATCCCACCCCATCCCATATGCCCGTTTCTTAGCGATGCAGAGGGAAGGCCTTACCTTTACTTTACGCTCTTCAGCTCGCTTCGCTGACCGAGGCATGAGGCCTTGCATTGCTGTTTGATCGTCACATGATACCGCCGTCTCCAAGAAGCCAAGCTCTGTCCCCAAAAAAAAATAACCGTCCAGTACTGGAACATACCTGACTTCCCGTCAATGACGATAATCCGATGTTCCTTTCCAAACTCAAATCAATCCGAACTCTACATCACACCCTCTTTGCCGCACCTCACAGTCGCCATTCGAGACCGAGCTCTTTCTCTGCGGACTTGCGGGCGTCCGTCAAATCCCCCTCAAAGTGCTTAAACCTTCTAGCTGTCGTCTTCGGTGCCGCGGTCTCCCTAGTCCCTCAGCTCCCCTTTTAGACTTTGGCGGGCCAGCCCGAGGTGAAATGCAGTGCCTAGCATCGAAAGATGCCAATTGTTAGCCGTATCGTGACGGTTGCGACGATGCCAAGTTGTTGGTTCCCGCTCAGTGGAAGTGAAGCCAAGTTGATTCGTCCCTTATCTTGTGAAGGTGCGTGTTTGATGGTGGCTGAGCTTCTGTGGACTGATATGGATTGGGCAATTACATTACCAAGCTGTGCTTGCGTTCGTAATTATTTTTCTAAACGGCTGCCTAATTCAACTGAGTCAAGTCAAGGACTCATAGTAAGTGGTAAGAGATTCATCATGTAAATGGGTGGGACCATCTCAAAACCACGATGGAGAAGCTCACTCCCATCCAAACAGTCAATACTCGGCAGAAGGTTTGATTGGAATCCAGATCCGACTTACGAGGACGAAAAGCCCAAGTCGAACAGCCAGGACTCCAATCTATACTTCGTGAACAACATGGCACCAGGTCTACAGCAAGAATCATCTTGATCCAACACGCAGGAATATGTATATTCTGGTTGAGAGGCTGGCAAACACTTGTGCGTATCGGTGCCTTTCCGTGAAACGAATAAAGCAACACAGAATGACTTCACTTGACAAAACAAAAGTACGATGGCGAAGGACTGTAGCGTCGTCCGTTAGTGATATACTTCTGCTGTTTGACAGCGTCAATGAACTCATGAAGTTCGTCGTGGGAAACCACAGGTAGACGCTAGGCATGCCCGTCTATCCTGCTTCGTCGTCTACTGAGTATTCGTACTTGCACTGGTTGCAGAAGCTCTCAAGGCGTGACAAGCGTGTGGACGAATTTGGTAAACCAGGATTGTTCAACCGATTGGTCATTTTGGAACAGTCGGAGCGTACAGTCTGGCCAGGTTCGAAGAGATACGCGAAACAGCTACAGCAAAACATGAACGCGACGGGTTCTGCCCTCACGGCCCGGCTTATGAGATTCCTTGCATGACTCAATTCTTCCGTTCTGGTCCAAGGCACCGCAAAAAAGGAAGAAGCCGTTCGGAGGTGCCAGCTCTTCCGTTTTGTAGGGAGTACATACGGCAACTTCAGCAGGTAGGTAGACAAGTCTAGTCTGCGCAAGAATATTGGCGTCGTCTTCTTTCGACAAACATGACGAAGATGAGGGAGGGAACAGGCATACGAAGACTTAGACACCTCGAAATCTCACAATTAGTGCGTTCTCTAACTGTATGCCTGAGCTCTTTCACGCCGTTCTCGCCATGACCCGACGGGTTGGAACTTGGCGTTTCTAAAACGGCCAATGGCCATAGGGAGCCCAAGGGAGGAAGAAGAGGCCAAGAGCGAGATTACCAATGGCATATCGGGGGCGACGTGGCCGTCGTCATCCACGGTCTACCGGAGGGGCCTTCCGGCCGCACAGCCACCGGTCAGCAGATCGGGGTTTCCGGGCTTACTCGCGGCCCGTATATTCGGACTGAGCCGCGGATGCACTGCTTCGGTCACGGAACTTGGGATACACGACATGATGGGGAAGATAAGGCGGTAAATTCCACAATGCGAGGGAGACGAGAATCCGCCCAAGGCGCGTTGTTCCCGAATGCTGCTATCTCAGGCGATGTTGCGAGTCTGCCGCAGCACTTGTCGTTGACCGTGAACATCAACCCTCCAAATTTCGAGAGCTTGAGATGTTTCCTTGGTCTGTGGCGTAAGGCACCTGGGCGTGGGTGGCCCGGTACTTTCGGTGAGGAGGCATTGAAACAAGGCGAGATCGTCTTCTCTATCCGTAGTTTGCTCGACAAGGATCCGACCTTAGTGTGAGCAGAATTAAAGGCCGTTTTGTGACGACCGTTTCCAACGGAAAGAGCAAAAGCGTTCCAACGAAATGAAGGGAGTATTGCGGGGGGTTACAACGGGCGCCGGGGGAGCACCGGCGACTAACTTCTTTTTTGGACCCCAAACCGATACACTAAAACGGGGCCCTTCCAGAAAATTAGTACTAGTGAATTCAATGCTGATGATTGTCGTTGCGGGATCATCAAACACTTGACATGGGGGAGGCATGAAATTAGGAATTTGAAATTGGAGGGAAACTCTCAATGGTGCCGGGTGATGGATAGTTTGGGGAAAAGGAAGCATGTGCTTTGCCAATGATTGATGAGGCCACCAATAGAGGCCCGGAGCTTGTTTCTGTAAACCTCGGCCGGAAACATGTACGATACGACGGACGGAGTACTGAGAATGAAAATGCCTCGCGTGTAATTGCGCGATGATGATATTCGTATGGGTCTTGTTTAATTTGCGCTGGGCAAAGCGAGGCCATGGGCCTGGAAGATATGCATGGGTCGATTGGTTTCTCCTGCCTTATCTACAAACACGGACCTTTTGTCAAGATCCGTTTTACACGGCACGATCTGCCCGTGTTATTTCCACAATAACCCTCCGTACGAGACACCGGGGCCGGCCAGGGTCCTCCGGGCGTGTTCGGAGGTTGCGGACCATGTAACAATCGTGCCGAACGCTGGGCGGTGCGGCTTATGGCAGGTACGATATGGGTTTGTTTTTCCTCATCTCGCCATGACAGCGTCCGTTTTCCTCTGTGAACCTCTTCGCTTTTCATGTCGGCTATGGGGTAGTCGATGAAGGCCAATCAGACTACCTTCCGCAACAAGATGGCGTTTAAGTCACTAAGGTAAGTAATGAAGAACCAGGTATGCGAGCATGGCCTCAACTTGAAATCGCAGAGGCTCGTCAATTGATACCTGACTTTGGAGCCTGGTTGTTGATGACTTATACTGCATTTTTTTTTACTTATCAGGGGGTTATGTCACCGTTTTACATGTAGTTGTGTCTAGTTCCTGCCAACTACACTCATTGGTACACATTTCTATGAAAGCAGAAAATTAACCAACTGAATATACCCTTCGACAAGCGTGCCTTGTGAACGTGTCAGAGCCCTCTCGAATAGGGGTTAGTCAGGATAATAAGAGGACGTCCAAGCAACAAAGGAGCAGCTCGGATATATATGCATCGCAGGGAGTACACGTCGAGGGAAGGACATATTTCAGTAATTCATTGACCCTCACAGGAGTTGGCCTCTGTGAGCTTCTTCCCTGTGTCGTACGCCTATTGACAGAAAGTTCCCTGGCATGTTTTACTTCATACAGATAGGTCTTGCAGATATCCTTCAGAAATATCGCACAATGCAAAATGTACGACAGATGGTGATTGCTATGGAATGCTGGTGGTAAACCTCGCAATCAATGCCTCTATCGAAAAAGAACGGTTACGTTGGAGAATTCTTGCGGTGAAGTTGTCCGCTGCTGTATGATCCCAGTGAGCATCCGCAGGTAACCACATCTCTTGAACGGTATCCCTTAAGGATGTTCGAAGGGAACTTGGGATATGTGATAATTTCGCTCTATCTCCGCCAGGTGTTACGCTACTTATTGTCGGTGGACAAGATTAGACGCTTC